TTTGCTCGCCCACCTGCCTTGGTGAAACTGGAAAGGCCTCCGGGCCACCAGTAATCCTCAATTATAAAAAAAAAACATACAAAATTTGAGTTAACTTTTACGCGATCGAGAACGTTAAACTCTCGCACCAAGCACACTGTATGGTTTTTTTTTCTTTCGAATTCTCATTCGTGTATCAAGGCCTCAAGGCCGCGGAACGCATGACGTTGACGTCGTTTTGTTTGCGTACGTATTGCGCGGCGCGTCAGGACGCTGACGGGCGTGTACGCGGATTACCGTCGATGGAGCGCGTCCCGCTCGCGGTCGCTGTCGATCCCGCGCCGCGCCGGCTCGCCCTCGTTCCTCGACCGGCGCCGCATCACCAGGTACACGGGCCCGAGATACAACGCGACGCTCTTCACACTGTGCACTCCCTACAATCGCTTTATACTGAATGTCTTTATTGTACACTAACCAGCTGACCCGGCAGATTTCGTAGTGCCTCAATCGATAAATAAAAGACCTAAACTTTTGTATAAAATAAACTTAAAACAAATAAAGAGGAATCCGTCCGACGGGGGGACACATCAAAGGAAAAACAAAATTGTTATTTTTATTTCATTCCGAGCATTTTTCATTTCGAATTTTAGCGAGACTAACAAACAGCAATTCATTTTTATATATATAGACTAGCGGCCCACCCCGGCTCCGCTCGGGTCTTTAACAAAAATTTCAACGATATTTGACGTTGTTTTATTTTTTTAAATAAAAGAACACTTATTGCGGCATAACTATAATAGGCAGACATGCTGTCGCGACAATTTTTGTAAATAATAATGTGTTCTACAAAGTTGTAGTACATTATTTTATTCTATTATATCATCAATAGTTTTCGCAGGACACGCGATGTAAAGAATATTTTAGATAATTTTTTTACACCTTGGGTTACATTATTGGAGTTTTAGTAAGGATCCCTAATTTTTTCAAAAAAGAATATAGCCATATAAAAAATTTATAGCCCATGTCACTCGGGAATAGTGTAGCTTCCAAACAGTGAAAGAATTTTTCAAATCGGTTCAGAAGTTTCGGAGCCTATTCAATACAAACAAACAAACAAATCTTTCCTCTTTATAATATTAGTATAGAAGTATAGATTCTCCGCCGGTGACTTATAGAGGTCTAAGATAACCTTTCACAGATACATTTTAATTTTTTTATTAATTATTAGAACAATCTTATATTATATAACTTTTTTATGGTCTTCGAATGTAGCCGCCGACTGTTAAAAAAACAAAGACATTCATTATAAACCGATTTAACCTTCAAATACGCGCTCTATTGAGAACAGTTTGGTATATTAATAATCTTTCGATTTTAAAATTAATCATGGTTCGATACTTTTGAGCTCCGCAAGTTAAGAGACAAGCAAAGTGTATTAACAGTATCCGAGACTGATAAATTTATGGAGCTACAAAAAAAATATAAACGATAATAATGTACTAGAAATCAGAATATATACAGACATACATATATACATGTATATGTAGAAAAGTGAAAGTTATTTTCCACTAAATTTGTTAAATGACAACAATTTCAAAATAAGTTATTACGTGGATATAAAAAATCTTTTATAACTTCAGATTATAAATTGTTAAATTATAAAAATAGAAGAGTCATCAGAAATAGTCTACATTTTATAGTTTACAAATTCATTAGCATAATAGTATGGTACATACTCTATATTCGGAACATTGAGTATCAATCTAACGTTGATATAAATTAATTACTATAAAATATAAAGATTACTATTTAGAACTTGGAAGCTCGTGGAAACTTCCACCTCTAGCTAGGCCGTTAACTAAATTTCTGTAGAATTTGGGAAATTTGCCTATTGGATAAGTGTGAAAAGCGTTGCATAAACCAAGCTCTCGGAGTAACATTGTATCTGCGTAACGAGGAATTGGGTTTCCTCCTTGCACATTACAAAATGTTTGTTGAAGAGCTTGTTTGCGTATTTAATTGGTGACATTTGTTTGCTCATACACATTCACCTGGTCCGCTTACAAAAGTGTTGTAGTAAATTAAACTGATTGATTGATTGATGTCATGCAAGCGAATGTTACTCCAATCTCGCACCGTGTGCTAAATGATTAACTTTTTTTTTTTCATATTTTTCGTGTGTCGCTTGTGTTTTTAATACGTGTGCCTTGTAATTTATTTTGCAGCATCGTGCCATATATTGATCATTAAAATGTAAAGAGAATCTAAACTGGTGTGACCATTTTTTGAAAATCGATTTATTTATCGATTAATCCCGTGATCTTTATATGGCACTCTTATCACTATAATTTATTATTATGTTTTTTTTTTTGTTTCTTTACATAAATATATATTTTTTTCTTTTTATTTTCTTTCTTTATAGAAAAAAATCACGAAAGTATAGCACGAGCTCAGAAGACACGAGTAGTAGCTCCGATTAGTGAAGTGAACCGTGCTAGTGTGAAGTGTATCTAGTATTTAAGATTTACATGTATTGTTCTCGACATAAGGTCTATTTTCGTGTAATATAATATTATAGTTTGAAAAATATTGTTTCTGTCACAAAATGGTTCTATGCCTGAATTAATTAACCGTAGATGATGCTCTCTCTAGCTGAGGTTTGTTTTTCATAACGATGTGTGGATTTTTACTAACAAGGGTGTGCTACTAAGTATTTTAAGCGGACGAAACAAAAATAACACGAGAATGAAAACGATAGGTATATAGTATTTAATTCAAAATAAACAGCGTGCGTCTGTTATTTCGTACATATTGATTTTTTTAACATTAACTCTGAATGGATCCATACAGAGACTCGCTAATAATTATTTAAACAAAATTAATAAAAAAAATCCAAATTGGTTTTGTTGTTGTCTAGATTAGCGTGGTCAAACTCACTTAGTATAAGATTTAACGTTTTCATTACGCGGGTAGTTTATTTGGGATTATTAAAACGAGCGCGCGTGTCATTGAGAGCGCGATATTGATAATTAAATATTGATTTATTTTTTTCCTCCGTAGCGCACCCGTTGTAGACCTAACTTACTCGTCCAACAAATATAAATACAGGAGAAGGTGATACATAAATAGAGAAAACGCCGAATGGAAAACGTCTTATGTAGAGGACACTACTGGCGTGTTTGTTTTCACATTATTAAAGATTGTAAATTTTATTTTGTTTTTCATTTTTAATTTTTTTTCCGCTGCATGGTAGAAAAGCTGATGCCCCCTGTAGATATGTGAATAAAGATTAGTTTTGCGAAGGTAAGTCTTATTAATTTTAACTTATCAAACACCATTTCATTTGACGTAATCACTTAACTTTACATTTGAATGCAACTGAAAATCTTTTTATTTAGACCTTCATTCAGCTTAACTTGCCTTTAGTATCATATCTGATATGTTACATTCACTGTTAACATTTCATGTTTAATTACATACTAACTTTACTAACCACTAACAGCGCTAGAAAACGTCCAATCCCGTACCGGAGGCCGACGCCTTCGACGCCTTCCACCACCAGCCACAGCAGCAGGTCTTCGCAGAGGAGTTGGTCTCAATCCCCGGTGCCAGAATAATGACGATACGTTTTAAAAAGAAAACTTTCAATAAAAATAGACAAGCGGCCCTATAGGTATTTTAGAGAATGCTAGTCTGAAAAAACGAAACATTCCCAAATGGTTATTTAAAATTTAAATTAATTAATTTATATTGTTACACCAAAAGTTGAAACACAATAAGGGCAAGTATGAGAGGTGAATATAAAAAGTATATGTTTATGAAATTTTGGTAAAAATATCTAGTCACAAATGCAGACGCATTTTAACTGCTATCTACGTTTACTGGAAATATTACAATGCTATCTAATACTTTTTTTTAAAAGTACCTAACAGTAAATAACTGTTTGTGAAAATTGCATCGAAATTAGTAGCAATGTAGCAATTAATACTTCATGCATTAATACTAGGAAGAGAGGGTTCATAGTGTAAATATACCTTTAACTCGGACAACAGCACCAATGTCGGTTATTAAGAATCTGTATCATTTTGATATTTGACAACTACCTACCCGTTCCAAAAGATTTGAAATATTGACTTACTCATTTCTGAACGGATTTTAAATGTCTTTGTAGCTACCTACCTACATATTGATTACCAAATAACAACTCTTTGATTGATATGACAAGATTAAGTCCGCATCCCTATTTACTTTATTTAAAGTCGAAGATGATAAATTGGAAATAATTTGAAGAAACTTAGGGATCACCTGGTTGAGAAAAGCGTGAGCTTCAAATATATAATTAATTTAAGAGTTTTTAAGCACCATCTTGATATTATATTATTATTTTGTTGGAAATAATTTTAGTCAAATACTTACTACTAATAACATTCCCTATTTTATGATCTCTCAAATTCATGCTTTTTAATTTGTTGTGATCTTTGTTGGTAATATTATACATTTTTATTTTTAAGTATTTACCAAAAATATACTCTAATCTAGTCTGTTTTAGTGCAATATATTTATTGACAGCTATACATACCTAATTTAAAATTGTTTAGTCAGTAAGATCTAGTCGGTTACATTATAAGAACAATAATTTATTATTAGTTATAAGGTATTTAGGCAATAGAAACAAAATGAGCAATACATATGCATTCAATAATACTCATAATATAATTATTAAAATGTTTATTTTATAATATAATTTACAAAAATAAATGCGCAGAGCATGAATTGACAAAGTCATGTTATTGAAGTAGGCTTTTTAAAAAATACAGGCTGATTGTAAAATACCACAAACCTGAAAATGAAGAAATTCTGTTGTGAAAATAAATTATTCAAACAATTTGTTCTAAACAACCTTGTTTCGTTATAAACTTCCAGTTCTTGATGAATACAAGTTACTTATTTTTACATTCAACAACATATTACACAATTCACTTAGAAATACATATTTCATTCAATAAAGCGAAATTGGCTAAAGACTACATACAATTAGTTGGTCCTGATATAAAAATGTCTTTTGACTTATTATAATCACAGTAAGGTTTAAAACATCATCCACCACCATGAAAAACAAAGTTGATATTAAAGTTCAATCTCCTTTCCTCTGACTCTGCTTGCGTCTTTTGCTTGCTAAGAACATTGCCCAGCCAAACCCAACAATGTTCATGAACAGAACTCTCAACTGAAAAATAAACACACTGAATTTTCATAATATTGTTTTACGTGGCTGAAGAAGTTAATGGTCCTCCTGTTTTTAAGTGGCTTCCAGAGCTCATTGACATCACATCACCTACCACCACTTTGAGACATGAGGTAAATCTTAATTGTAATATAGAACAGCTGCTGTACCCTTCGTGCTTTACTATGTTACTGATGGAGATTAATTTTATCTATTCTGTATTTAATATGAACCATAAGTAACCTATAAATTAAATCAATTACTCACCATTGGAGGTATAAATGCTAAATTTATGACTTGGAACAATGTAAGCCATTTCCAATTGGCTTCTAAGACTGGTAAGTACAATGCAAAAAGTTGCTTCAGAGCGGCTCTATGAGTTTTTCCTTCAAATCGAGCCAAAGAATATAGAGAAAATGCTTGCATTAACGGTGCAAAGATCAAACGTTCCAATAATAACTTTTTTGCAAGTGGGAATGATGCAGATTCTTCAGGAAACAGCCTTTCAACTGTTTCATAGAAATAGTGAGGAACTGTACCGCCAAATAATAATCTGAAAATTTGGTTTCATTTTAGAGATGCATTTTATTTATTGTCTGTTGTGATTTTAGGAAACAATTTATAAACTGTACTGCCAGATTGCTTAATTGGATTCAAATGTAAAGTATAACTTTAAATTACTATAAATTAAGATGTTACTAAATTAAAATGTTCTCATGTTAAATGAACTATGCAAGTTGCTTGCTTGCTCATGTAGCATTACTTTGGGATAGCACTTCTCTAGTCAGTGGGATGATATAAATATTGAGAGATCAAGCAAATATTAACGTAAAAGTTACTTCAATTTAAATTAGCACTTTCTAGCCACCATTTCCTTAATGTTGCAAGTGTTTTAATATCTATGCATGTGTTTAAATAGTTATATAGAGTTCTTCACTATTTTTCCATAATTTTGATTTATATTTTTTATCAATTCACTTATCAATCAATATTAAAAGAATGATCAGACCATGCACTAAATTTGAAATGCATAGATTGATACAATTAAAAGTTAAAAGGTTAAAAACTGTTTCTGTTGTTCCATTTAAAATGTAAATAAAAAAGTAACTAAAGTAATATTTAACTTACCCGTAAAAACCAAATGCGAGAATAGGATCAAGTCTGATTGATTCTCCAGCCACGATCTGTGATGCTAGACTGCCAGCTGTACCCACTACGCAACTTAAAACAAAATTCCATAAATCAACAATTTACTAATTTATGAAACTATATTCTTACGATTTCGATAGGGATCACTGAACTTTGGAACCAACTTTGAACTCTGATTTATGAATAGAGATAAAAAAATTCAAACTTACCTTGTAATAGCTTTCGTCTTAATCGGATGTAAATATAAATTCTGTAGATATGAGGCTACTAGATTCATTATCGGTTTTGACAGAGACATTGTTATTAATTATTAATTTTCAATAAAAAAAAAACAATTAAAATTACATTTACCCAAAGAAATAAGTAGGCACTGACAAAAACTTAAGTAGTCTGTCGGAACGTACGTAATGTACAATAAAATTATCGTACATATCAGTGTGTATGTATGTACGTAGTATCTTATTTTTTATTTTTTTCTGATAGCTAAGTATGTAATTATGTACATATGTATAATTATTATCTCAAATATTAAGTAGGTGTTTGTTTAAGTATCTACTGTGTAATCTATGAATATTAATTAAAATCGTTTTTTTTGTTTCGTCTGTATGAAAAGCAAAGGAAATAAAACTTTACGGCCAAATTATTTTGCGAAAAAAGCGCAAGTCAAGTTTGTTGAAGCTGATTCGTATCGAGTAATACCGGTGTTAGCCGAAAGGTACAAAATAGTACAAATGTTTCTAATGAAATACGTGCTTAGGTAAAGTTCATGAATGCCTTCCACGGTGAAGGAAAGTCATTGTGCAATAAAAATCAAACCCGCGAAATTATTTGCGTGATAGAGTGTCTTGTGAGCCCGCGCGGGTAGACGCCCTGTTTATTTCTGCCAAGAAGCCATAATGCGTTTTGGTTTGAAGAGTGGGACAACTATTACAGGTTAAAGCTGAGACTTGGGATTTGCGTCGCAAGATGGGTGGTGGTATTTACGTTGTTGATGTCTATGGGCTCCAATAACCAGTTAATACCAAGTGGGTCATGAGCTCATTCACCCATCTAAACCAGAGTGAGCCATTAGATTTAATGTCACTGGCTGCCTTGAGCGGACATTTCAATTGCGAATTTTTGAATTATGAGCGACGAAGCAATCAGTCATAATTGTGACTTAAGTTTTTTTATTTTTTTATTGCTTAGGTGGACGAGCTCACAGCCCACCTGGTGTTAAGTGGTTACTGGAGCCCATAGACATCTACAACGTAAATGCGCCACCCACCTTGAGATATTAGTTCTAATGTCTTAGTATAGTTAGAACGGTTACCCTTCAAACGAAAACGCATTACTGCTTCATGGCAGAAATAGGCAGGGCGGTGGTACCTACCCGCGCGGACTCACAAGAGGTCCTACCACCAGTAAATATGCAAATTATATCTTTAATATATATGATGGTTCAAACACTAAATAACGTTTATAAATCACAGTCGTCTTCTATTATTATCAAATAAATAAAAGAGAGCAAAGTTTCTAGCAATAAAATAATTACCACCACAGGAAGTTAATTTGAAGCGCGATTTTTTATAAGTTAGCAGCTATTATCATGCATATTCAGAGTTGTTTTGTGAGCTTTCAACATTCTACTATTAAACCACAAAAAATGGAAGATTTTGCAACGAATTTAATACTAATATTGAGCGAAAGATTTTCGCCCCATTTTACGGTACATCTCGTGTAGATACAATATACTGTATTACTAATGTGCTTTGTATTTTAAAATGAAAGCTTCATACATGTTCGTAGTCTGAAGTAGTTCGTAGTCGTATTAATGCAGTTATTTTTTTTGTTATTGCTTGGATGGGTGGACGAGCTGACGGCCCACCTGGTGTTAAGTGGTTACCGGTGCCCATAGACATCTACAGAGTAAATGCCATCTTGAGATATGAGTTCTAAGATCTCAGTACAACGGCTGCCCCACAAACCGAAACGCATTCTTGCTTTACGGCAGAAATAGGCAAGGGTTCAACTTCAACAGACATTTACCAATTCTTTTGTGAATCAGTGTGCTTAGTGCGAGTTTTTAACGTTCTCGACAGCGTAAAAGTTAACTCAAATTTGTATGGAGTTTGAACTTTTGCCGCTAGGTACTGCCCTGTTCCAACTGCATACATACAAATTTGACTTAATTTTTACGCTACCTATCGAGAATATTATAAGACTCCCGCTAAGTAAGTATATGTATTTAATTTATAATTTATTTTAGCTTAATTTATATTAAACTAATTGTCGCCCGACGGGCCTTACCTTTTTTTTATTTCCTTTGTAGGCAGACGAGCGTACGGCCCACCTGATGGTAAGTGGTTACCGTCGCCCATGGACTTCAGCAATGCCAGGAGCAGAGCCAAGCCGCTGCCTACTAACCTCAACTATAATAGTGATAAATCAAACCTGTAAGTTTGAATGAAATTTCTGGTGGGTTTAAATGATGAAATTATTATAGTTAATTACAAATATGTGCCTACCCGTCACAAATTAAATAATCGAGGACCATTATCGGACAAAGACAAAAAAATAGTAGTTTAAAAAAACTAACAAAATACGCTTTTATAGAAAATCCAACTAAAAAATAGAAAATAAATTTTGTGGTGCTTTTCAGGATATTATCAAAATAACCCTTCTACTCATATCTGTTCATAAAATATTTATAACTACTGATACCATGCACCCACGCTTTTTTTACAGTAAAATCATTTTTTCTTACACTATTTTTAATTAATATTTATTAAAATTTATTTTCGATTTATTAGTTGGATTTTTTATAAAAGCGTATTTTGTTAGTTTTTTTAAACTATTACTTATTTTTAATTTTTTAGTTGAATTTAAATTTTTTCAGTTTTTTTTTAAAATATTGAATTGTCATCGGTCTTTGATAAGTATACCAAATTTCAAAATCATGTTCAAAAATTCCGTTACATACTACATACTAACGTCTGAAACTAATAAAAGCGTATTAAAAAGGAAATAATTTGTTGCATAATTTTTCTAATAATTTTTCTTAGGTCACAAAAAACATCAAATAAATTAGAATATATTTATTAATTTTCTTAAAATGTTTTAGAAACCATTAGATTATTAACAAAAGTACGGTATATTTTCTCTTTAAATATTTTACGTGCCTATAATAATAATTTAATTTAATTTATATCTATATGTACAGAGGCTCTAGTTTGTCATTAGTCCATATATACAATCACTGATTAAGGTGTAGTTTATCGTAACGAATTCTCAAAAAAGAATGGCAGTTTAACGATAATTTTGCATTATTCCGATATGAATATTTCTTTTTTTTTTTTTTTNATGTACAGAGGCTCTAGTTTGTCATTAGTCCATACATACAATCACTGATGAAATATTCATATAAGAATAATGCAAAATTATCGTTAAACTGCCATTCTTTTTTGAGAATTCGTTACGATAAACTACACCTTATTAGGTCGAAATGGCCCAAAACTTCTCGATTGCCCATAAGAATTTTCGAACAAACCGACAACTCTGGAATAATAGGTACGTTCAAACAATCTTTGAAGTGTTCTTAGGTAGGTTAGGTTAGATATATAGGTTTCTTCACTAGTCGAAAGTCTTGTTCACCAGATTACGTGGATTCTTTGCAAAGAGCATCCATTGTGATCCCTCCGGGTTTTGGTCGATAGGCAAAGGTGGTATAACGCATGAGTAGGTCAGTCAGTGACTGCTATGATCAGAGGGCATGTTGTTGAAGTCGCAGGGCGTGAGGAAGACGTCACAGATGACTCCATCCACGATGTTCGTAAGGAGCCTCGTTCTGACTTCCAACGATGGCATGTAAGCGTACAATACAAAGTAGGTCCGGAGCCAACTCCATCAAGACTTCCTCTATCAATTGTTCCCCCGAACGCGTTATATTAGCAAGGAAACTTTCCAGATCCAAATTGTTGAGGCATGGATCTGTGGCATAGGCTAGGGAACCTCTTTCCCAAATCTTGGTGGAGACATCTGCTCTCTCTCTCTGTGGGGAAAAGCAGTTTTGTTGATGATATGCTGAATAGCATTAAAGAGCATCCCTTCATAATCACCCAATGTGACAAGTCTTGAAATCTTCAGATACTCACCTATACACCAACTCTGCAGGGTGCATAGTTGCATTAAAGCATTCCAACTGTGTAGTGGTAGGGAAGTGCCATCTGTATGGTGTACGCTGAGGTCTTTGCTTCCGTGAATCTGAAGAAGATGAGAAAAGCACAATACCTGGACTGGGTGCTGGATATGGCTTGTATGTAACTTACAGACTCTTCCTCTATATAAACCACTCGATGAGGCATATGCCGAGAGACAACACAGGGCAGTCCTTGTACATATTCAAGATAGTTTGAATAAGTTTTGACACTAGGAGGTGGCATTGGTTCTCCCATCACTCTCAACATCAATCTAACTAGCCTGTAATAGAGCTTATTAGCATTTTCTGGGGTCAAATAAGCCCCCCTCTCCACAAGTGTGAGATAACCCTCATGCCCACATTTTGTCAGGGCCCGGATTCTTTTCTTCGGCAGAAGCCGACAACCCCGCCAGAGAATATAGTTGCCCTGCTTTTCTGCAGGCCATGATTGTGTCTAATAAGACATTGCCTTGTGTTTAATGAGGCAAGGTGCAAGAATTTCTACAATCACACCGCCAAACTCCGTGAGATTAAGGAACGCCGCATGGACACTCTCGGATATAGCACGATTTTCCAACGAACAAATTCCTCCTCTCGTATTTTCTTTTTTGCCTTTTTTGATGGGTGGACGACCTCACAGCCCAACTGGTGTTAAGTGGTTACTGGAGCCCATAAACACCTACAGCGTAAATGCGCCACCCACCTTGAAATGTAAGTTCTAAGGTCTCAGTATAGTTAGTTGTATGTGAAGGATCCATATTATGGGCGATGTGAATGATGTCTGTTGAATTGGTGGGGATGAGATGGCGACGTCGTTGGTCGTCGACTATCGCCTCGACGACCCGTCAGTCGGGCGTCCTTAGGGTGGCGCCGCGAGCCTGGTTGTAGTGTTGACCGCGGGAAACCCCTTACTCTGACCGGGTCCTGACCCCGCGCGGAAATCGGACGTCGGGTGTAAGAGTGCAGGAGAGTCGTTTAGTGCGGTAGGGCCCTAAAACATCCTTGTTCCCGCGGTCTGCTTCCAGCATCAGCAGATCGTCAAGTCCCACAAACCTCGCGCACCCCTAGGCGCGAGGATCTCGTAGGAGGTTTGACCCGGCCCGAAAAAAAAGGTACATAGGTTTGGTTAGGTAGATTGGTTTGTTTGGTTGGTACATAGGACCCTCACAAGTTGTCTCCACTTGGTCCTGTCTTGCGCTTGCTCCTTGAAATCACTACGGCAGACGAAATTTCGCTCTCCACGGTTTGTGTAGAGGACGACCAGGTCTTGTCCTCGCACGTAGTTGCCAGTCAAACGCGATTGATACTGCGTTGACTCCGCTGCGTCGTAGAGTATGTCTTATCCAACGCCATTTCTGATCGGCAATGTCTTGCGCGATGGGACTTTGGTCACATTTTGTCTAGAGGTCTTTATTAGAGATACGAAATGGCCAGAATAAGCGAAGTAGTGCTCGTCTTTAAATGAACCTGGACTTTAATGACCAATCCATACACGTACAATGCTTTATTGCGAATTGTTTTGGGGAATTGATTGAAAACTTTTACATGTTCATTTTTATTACTGAATTATTATTATTGTCGTAATTAACTTAATGATAAGTTCCTATGATGTCGCTAGCCACTTGGCAAAAGCTATTGTTATAAAAATCTATCGTAATCTTTCTACCCTCTTTCTGTCGTGGAATCATTTGTGTCAAACAAAAAGTGTTTTTTTCCTTATTGATTGGTGTTTAAACTGCCGTTAGTAGTAACTTATTGCATTGTCTATACCGATTACAATTAGTAAAAAGCGTAAAAAGTAATGTATGGCCCTGACACAACTACCACAGATTAATGCTAAATTAGCTATACTATAAGTATTCATATACAACCCAATTTAAGCCAACCTGTAGCAATATTTTTATATTATCCTCAACATTATTACTAAGAAAGCTAAATTTGTAGACTGAACTCATTATTTTCTACATAAATTAACATAAACTGCTCTTAAATACATTAGTTCTGATTCTATATCATTTCTATCATAATTTAACTATTAATTTATTTTTTAAAATATTCCTATCAATTTTCAGTGTATAATTTGTCTAATTGTCTCTGTAAGTTATGTGAAGTAACCATAGGGGTGTCTAGGACTTCAGGGTTATTTTTTTTTGTTACAGGTGTGTTCAAAAAATTCATGTGCTCTTTCATTTCCATATAGACACTTAATGCTTTGTCCTTTAATTTTTTATCTGGTGTTAAAGCAAATGAATTTGAGACATTGGGCATTGATTTGTAGAACACCTTTTTCCTCAAACACTGGTTTTTTTTAGGTATTTTATATATAGGTGATTTAGTGGATCCCGACTTTACTATCACACTGTTTCCAGGACTTTGTTCTATAGTCAATTTGGCTGTTTTTTTTGTTAATTCTGTTAAAGTGTTATTACAGTGAGAATCAGTTACAGTATGACCATTCTGTTTTTCTTTTAACAATTTCGTAATATATTCCAAAGATTTTAAATGTGACTTTTTTATATTATCCAGAGTTTGAATACCATTTTCGATCATTCGTATATTTAGTTCAGTCTGTTTCTTTACTTCCAACAGACGTTGGAGCTCTGTACTGGTATTTTCTGGTTCGATGGCTGTAGCCTTGTTGAGCATGTTGCATAATGACACTATCACACTCTCCTCTCTTTCATTATTCTCATTTTTAAGACATGGCTTCTCAAAACACATGATAGTATCATTGAAGGAAGCTGAATTTTCTGCCTGTTCATTTGAATTATTGAAGTATTCTTTGACATTTCTGTATTCTTTGAAAGGGGTCGAAACAGGAGGTGATACTTCAGCAATGTTTTCCAATATCTGTTCTTGACACAAAGCTTTCGTTATTTCCTCAACATCATGTATTTCTTTCTCTTTCATTAGGAAACTTGCATCACAACTGGATTTCCAAGACACGTTGGACTTTGGAGTGTCCATCACTTCAGGTACAACAAATTTGTGGTTAACTATTGTGGGATTGTTTAGCTTCTTGTTAATATTTGTTAATCTTTGAGGGTTTAGTATGTTCTCTTTGTTAGCAATACTCTTCATTTGTCTTATTGGTTCTGTGGAGATTAGGGGTGTTTCTGGTATTTTACAAATACCGCTTATTCTTAAATTGTTATTTGCTGCAATTGGAAAAAATACATAACTGTAACAGGGAAAGCTAAGAACAACTGTGTGAAAAAAGTAGTAACACTAACCTTGTAAAAGAGTAGATTTTTTCTGTTTAAATTCTGGTTTGGGGAACTTTGGGGTTTCCACTGGTGTTGGATTTGATACTGCCTATAAACAAATTAAATTATCTATGTTTAGCTTGTGGATTATTGAGTAACATTAAACAATATTAATCTTTTTTCATACTTTTGGCTTTGGTTGAAAATTAAGTACTTTTCGTACAGAATCATGTTTCATCTGACCATTGGCTGTATGACTTATTTTCTTGTTATCAACTTTTACTGATGAGTTCCAGTTCCGTTTCTTTGCTGAAGTCATAGCCTGAACAGGCCTTTTTGGAGACCTCACCTTCAATGCTAAAACACAATACTAAGAAATCATTCATTATTGTTACATTATTATATATTTCTTGTTTTTATGGTACTTGCCTAGTATTTCCGTTCTCATTTCAGCAATAGTGAGCGGTTTCATAACCTTCTCAGCAGTACTTGTTTGTGCCATAGAGCGGGGTTTCTTTCTAGCGGTTAAGGTCTGCATTGCATCCTTCGTTATTATACCTTAAATAAATGGAAATTTGTATTAATTTTCTATTGGTAGCGTAAATATCTTCGTACTAAGATAAAAACACATATTATATATTCAATTATTATTTTAAACAGTCAGTTTTGTCTTAGTATGATCTGAATAATATAAAATGGATTGATGTTTTGAACTCACCACTAAGTCCTGGCAATAATTCGGCTAAAGTCTTTGGTTTAATTGATGTGGTTGTCTCCATTGTGATAAATTCATAAATTATGAAATAAATATAGCGGGTGTGTACTTATGTGTCGTCTTATTATCAATAATTCACAGTGCAAATTCGGTCATAACATTCAAAATTCAAACTATTGTTTTGTCAACTGAAGAAAATGTCATAAATGTTTTTCAAATTTATACTGTCCTGGATTCTGGTTTTTTGGCCAAATCTTTAGAAATGTTTAGTTGGAACACATTTCTTTATACAAAGAGAATTAGATTAAGACGTCCAGTGTATTCGTATGTAGCGATGCAACGGCGCTTGAATCCCGAAGGCAAGTACCACCGTGGTGAAGGAATAACATCCAATAATAAAAATCAAACACGCAAAATTATTATTTGTGTAATTACTGGAAGTCTTGTTAGTCCGCACGAGTAGGTACGACGTAGATACGGCGGGAACGCGAGGAGTGAAGTTGGGTAATTTGTTTTGTTTTGTCTATTTGGTGTTTCAAGTTTATATGTAATAAGGTAAGGTGGTTTGTTATCTGTTTAGTATCAATGAAAGTACACAAATGTGGGAAAATAAAACAAAACTGCTGGACGTACCTAACTTCTCGAGATCCTACAAAAAGTCCACTGAAAAAGTCTCCGTAAATACCACCATTTTACTGAGATTATATTTCATCCCATATCATCTCATCTCATTTCATTTAGGTTCATCTCAGTTGATTAATGTCTCAAATTAATCATCTTTATTTCATTTCACACCATAAATATTATCATTTTTCGTAAAAAATAAGAATATAAATGAAAATAAGACATGACCTAAAAGTCTTAGCTACCAGGTCATAAAATTCATTAAAAAAATTAAGAAAATAAAGTTTTGAAGCAAATTTATTAAGTGTTTAAATTACATATTTTATGTATAATCTATGTTTTGAAGTGTAAGAAAATAAAGTGAGTGGATGATTTTGATAAACTGATATCCTTTGATAATTTCGTTAACGTAGACGACCACCATAATCTATGATTATCATTATATGTATTTAATGATAATTTTACCTAATGCTCTGTACAGAATTTTCTTAAACTGTTCAATACATATAACTTAACTGTCGGTAACTTGTATGTATTTAAAAAAATATATAATTTAATAAATTTCTAATCAAGTACTTCACTTCCCAAAATGGTTATTAACGTGGATCTAAAAGGTTTTGAAGAATTTTCGAAATATACTCGTGCAATTGATTCTCGTGGTCCCCCTGTATTTTTTTACTTTAGCGGTTCAAAGCTACCTGATGGCAATAGCTGGTGTCCCGACTGCGTGGAAGGTAAGTTCATTCTATTTAAAAAGTCAGACACATTAGAAAAACTAGAAATAAAATGACTACGTAAATGTAAGCAAACCATCATAATAACTATGTATTTATAACCTTAAATATACACAGTGCTGTGTTCATAAAAAATTCTAGACTTCTGAATAGTATTTTTTAAGTTTAATGCGAAAATAAAACCTCAGTCTCTTTCTATCAATGTCAATAGAAATGTCTAGAAAAGCTGTTAAAATAATTAATTTAAGTAATTATGACGAATTCAATAAGTTTGTCTCTGAACTGCCACAAAAGGGACCAAATGTGTATTTATTCTTTACTGGAAAAAAGAAAGAGAATAGTAGAAGTTGGTGTATTTATTGCCAAATTGGTTAGTACATTCATAATCAATTTGTTATTAAAAGTGATAAAAAACTTCAATCAGTTATTCTATAAATTCTACACTGTGAATCTTTTTAATTAATTATGTGTTATATTAACACCTGTAACAAATGAGTACTTTATAATAAAAGCACTACTATTGCCTAATGTCATGGTTATATGAGTCGTCTATTATCAAAGGTGGCAATCTGTGCATTTGGACAAAAAAATGTTATTGATATGTCAATACAAATTGATTTGAATATAATCGTCTCCTTCAAAGAATACGGTTCAAAACCTGCATTAAATAAAGGTTAATACTTAACCTGTTATTTATCTAAGATGTCGTTCAGAAGAGTTTTGTGACTGCCAATGGAATACAAAGTCAATAATTCGTTTTTCTGATTTACCAATAATTGTCCAAAAGTCACATTGCCGGCTTTGATAATAGTCGACTCATATATGATCCACACAGATACTATAAACAATGCTTGGGTACCAGCATTTACTCAATCATTGTGACACTTGAACTCTGAGTAGGAAAGGTACTTTGAAGATACTTTGGTACCTTGAATGGGTCATGAAAACTACCTTATTGTGGTTGCTGTGAACGACTCCCCATATCTATTTTACTTAGGGGCTAGTCACCAATTAATACCCCAGAGGTGTCCTTAAGGATTCACCAGGTGCACTAACACATTAGATACCTGCAACTCTAACTCTGGAAACATAGAGACCATGATAATCACACTCATCAAAAAGTTCAATATGAAACCTAAAGCAGAATGCTTTGTGACAAAATAAGAAAACTGAGGGGACCAACCTAAGTAGGTCTACCAACACTCCAAAGTTATAAAAATGTCTAGGGGAAACTTAGGTAGGAATATAAGGTGGTATACTACTATTACAGCCTAAAAATAGCAAATTTCAATAGTAATTGACAAGGCTAGGTTCGGGTATATTTCCCGATTTAAAATGAGGTACACCTTTATTACATAATTTGTCTGATTGAGGAAAAGTAAGTTAAAAAAATTTGGAGCATTATGTAATTTTTAAATTAATATTTCAGCTGAACCAGTCGTCAGGCATTACCTTAGTGAGCTAGACAAAAGTATCATTTTTGTCTATGTCGATGTTGGAGATAGAGAATAGTAAGTATTGAAATGAACAAAAGTAGCCATAGAATAATATAGTAGAATATATAATAGGTTATTCGAGTTTTAATAGTGCATTTCCTGCTACATCACTAAGTTTTAACACAAAGAGACTTGAATTTGCGACCCTGTACTAGTAAGTCTCGCCATAAATACTGCTGCAAAGAAATACGTACTTAACAAATAAATAAAATAATATTGAAAAAACAAAAAGGTGTAGACATTGAACATATCACAGGATAAAGAACACCTGCTGTACTCTGATTGAGAGATGTGACTATGCCGGATTTGATTACCGACAGGTAGGTACCAATTTTTTTAAGAAAAGATGTACCTAACACTAAAACTATGTAATCAATATTTTGATCATTAAATTTGATAAAATTTGTTTAACAAATATTAAATTTGGTCCACAGTTGGAAGGACAAAGAGTGCCCGTTCAGAACGGACAGTCGCTCTAAGTTGATGGTCATACCGACTTTAATAAAATGGAAGGGAGTACAGAGGCTTGAGGGAAGCCAGTGCAGCAATCGGGAACTTCTGCAGATGTTGTTCGAAGAAGAAGATTAAATAAGAAAAATCACCAATTCTTTTAAGGTAGATTCTAATACTAAGATCACCAACTATAATGTATGAGTAGATTATATTATGAACCATAAAATATTTTAATTCTTATAATAACCATCAATAAATAATAAAGGATATTGGAGAATTATTAATTATGTAATTAAATTTTAGATCATAGCTATATCTGGATATAAGGGTAAATCAATATCAATTGATACAAAAAAGACAGGGAGTTAAATAAATGCCAATCCCACTAAAGTAGAGACTAGAAGTAACTTCGCTACGAAAGAAATGTTGCCATGCTCCTGTCATAAAATTGCAATTGATGTTCTAAATAAATTTGAAATCTTACATTAAACAATGTACTGAATATAACACATCAGTAAGGTGGTCTTTTAATTAAATATTATATCAACATAAATTGACATTTTTATTGCAACGTTCTACATGTTATAATGTCTTCTTGGTGACAAAATAAATAAATAAAACACTGGGCAGAAGTGACTTTTAATAATTTAATGGAAATTCTGTGTAAACTCATACTTATAATTAATTACTGGTGAAACGAGTATTATAATCAGTGCAGGTACCTACATGTCTTTGTCTATTTTTGTATTCAGGTAGAAATGCGTTCCTATACTAAGGGTGGGGCAGCAGTTAGACTTTTAAACAAATTTTCTGATAAACTAGAAATCTGATGTCAGTGCAAGAAACAAAGAATACTTAGCATATTATTCAATTCAATGTAAAAGGGTGGTATATTATAAACATTGAACAAATTGGTCATGTTGGAAATAGAATAAGTGGTATTAACATAGGTACCATCAATATAATATCGGGGTGATCATAAGTTTACCAGTTCTGGCAACACATTTATTCTCACTTATAAATATAGGTATATGAATTTTTATCTATTGAACTAGCTACGGATGTATTTTTGATCTGCTGAGCAATTATTACCGAAGTTGAGGCATATAAATACATCACAACATGAAGCCCACACCCATTATAGACCGTGCATGTGACGCATTTTTGCAAAACAAGTGAACAAATAAAGGTTTAAAGTAAATAAAAAAGTATTTTATTGTTTCTTCCATTATTCCTTTAATACAAAATAATAATTAAAAAAAATATAAATTAATATCATCAATACTTATCATCAGTCCTTAATCACCCACTATAAACATTAAGATAAAAAAATATAATCCCATAATCCGTTTATTAACTACTGATGTTGTACTATTTAAAAGTAACTATTTCATCACAGTTTTTACATAATATACATACACGCAAAACGTAATTACATAATTGTAATTTAACAATAATTAGAATTATCTATGCTATGTAGCTTACTTTATCAGATTTTAATATATTTTATATACCTACCTATGAACGGTTGCCCTGTTCAGGTAAATGATTTTAAACTAGCGTCCTGACTAAAAGAGCCAGACTTGAAACTTAAAAAATGCTCAATAATAGCATGAGAAGAAATGAGAAAACCTTTATACCTTTTTGGTTTAAGTTTGACATAAACGGCCAGCAAAAAATATTGATATTTATCAACAAAAAATGTATAGAAGTTTTTTTCATACGCTTAAATTTGTTATAGGGAAATAAATAATTGTATCTAAATTTTGTATTTTTGTTATCTAATGTTTTAAATACGACAATACTGGCGGAACTTTAGCCAAGATCTTATTAAAATTGTGTAATGTGACATTATCGCCCGAACCGAAACTCCTAATATACTCTAATAAGACCCATGCCTGCATGTACCGCATGGTACAATGATATAAATTGTAAAGTTAATACTGAAACAAAAGCAAGCTTAATTAAGCGCTAACTTATTTTTAATGAGTTAATAATTTCGGCGACCCGCAATGTAACGTAAAGGCAGTTAGCGAACTTCGACCAACAGATGTTTATTTGTTTCATTTACATTGCGTACACGTGCAAAAATATTAATGAAAAGAAAACTTTTCGAACGTGACATTTTAACGTTTTCGGGATACCGTTACACCGTAGACTATATTTAAAGGCAGTAAGCGCGTGTTCGAGGTTCACTAGTAATAATAATATATTCAAATATACACCACGGTCCATATTTTGTATGTGAGGCGTTGAGGCGTGAAGAATGTTAATTCGGAATGAAAGTTAACGTTGGTGAAAGTCGTTTTGATTTTAAAATCTAGATTTTCTATTGACACAACACGAACGCCATTTCTCAGTTTGTGCGGCCATTACATACTTTCTTAGCAAACCTACAAAACTGTCAGGTTGCCGTTAAAATTGTCAAGTTTACAAGTGCTTGATATCCTTTAATCAAAGAGAACTGTTATTTGTTGGACGTGAATTTAAGTAAATCTTTGCTGGATAATCTTTTTTTTTTGACTGTTTGCGATAAATGACCTAGTTTAGCTCATCCGCTCTACTATAATTTATTAGTTATCTCTCTAAGAATACTGTTTATTCATACGCAGCAGCGACAGGTTCATTGTGGTCGTCGGGCTCGTCGTTAATGTTGAGGTCCCTGGTCGGCACCGTTATCAAAATGTCATAGAATATCTTCTTGTTCTTTAGGAACGCGTTTTTGTTATCGAATATCACTGAATCTGTAACGAATAATATATAATTAACAAATAATAGCTCTAGTTTTCAACTTTGCTATATAAAAATATGTTTATTGTCGTTTCAAATATACACTTTATTTTATTGGCGATGCCTAAAATTTAAGTCTAAACGGATACGTGCCGACCACCGTCCGTCCTGTTTCACCCGCAATCGAGTCATTTATTCTACATAATTTTAATAATTAACGAGGACACAGCGCAGACTATCCAATTGAGAATTTGATTTCATGCCGCAAATGAGTTTCACACTATTTATTGGGTGATTTAATTTTCATAGCAGATAACAAACAAACAGGGATATAAAATTTTATGTAAATCAAAATTTAAATACGCAATCGTCACAAATACGTTTTTTTTTATCATTGAATCATTACTGGTGATCCGGAGACCTTTCCAGCTTCATCAGGACAGGTGGGCGAGCAAAGGCTCAGCCAGGAGGGGTCACACATACGTATTACTGGACATAGGCCTCCCCCAAGCTCGTCACAATGACCATCCCTGTACAGGCCGCATCCAGCGGATTCCCCTGACCCTTAGCAGATCGCCGGTCCACCTCGTGGGAAGCCCAGTCACGCAGCGGTTTCCGATATGTCACACATTCAGTTACACAAAATTAAAGTTTTATTGCAAGATTGCGAAAATATCGCCCTTATGAATTAAACGATTCTTTTAAATATCCTTTAAGATTTACAAACGAAATATTCTATTTTTTAGGTATAGAAGAAACTTCTGTTTGGTGTAAATAAATAAAAAAATTAAGCGCGTCAAGTAATGGCGCGTTGACTACAGGACGATGACCCAACAGAGCAGCCGCTTCTGTTGAAGAATGAAATTGAAGTAAACTGAAAATTTGCGACACGAGCTTAATACAATAACAATGCGAACTTCGTTAAGTCACGACAAACAATTGCATGAAGAAACAGCACCAAGTTCATTCCTCGACCTGTTCGTTATGATAATGTGGCGACTCCCTTATCCGCCACTACTTGGGCCACCGCCTTACAATTCGACAAAATCGCTATCGCTTGTGGTTTTAGGCCATCACCTATTATTGTCGCCACTTGACAATCACTCGACAAGTCGTCAGGTTTGAGCCCCGTGAGAGCTCACCTACTAGTTAAGGTTGTGCTGATATAGCCATGACTTACACGTGGCCGGTCCGGTGACGGAGAGCACGCCGACGTCCATCGGACCCTCGGCGATCTTCCTCGGCCCGTGGACCACTTCCTCGTTGCCTTCCTCGTCCCTTCGTTTTATTTGAAATTTTATTTCGTGATGTTCCACTCCGATTTCCCATCTATAAACGTATACGTCACTGAATGACAATTGTCTTATTTTTATAAATGACTGCTATAAATTTGACTTTTATAAATTTTTATAAATGACTTTATAAATGAATACCCGTCTGCTTCGCTGGGCATTTAAAATTAACATTATTATTTCTCTCCCCACAAAAATTCTCATCATTAACGCCCCCGTAACTGGTGTAGGGAGTCTAACACTGATATAAATATTAGCCTATCCATTAAGTACATGTATTTTCTACATGGATACCAAGTTTCAAGTCAATCGGATGCATGGTTCAGTAGTTATAGCGGAACATCCGTAAAAACCACTGTAGATTTATATATTCGTATAGATTTCTCAAATAAATATGATGGTTCCGTCGCCTCCCTTTTCCAACCGTCGTCATTAAAACATATTTCATTTCCACTATATGGAACCACTGCGAACACCCGCTAAATGAATTTTCCTCAACAATGTTTACAAAGAGCTATGCCACACCACTCTGCAAGCGAGGTTTGAAGGGACTCCGTGGTAGTAGGCAGGGGTTCGGCATTTCTGATATTATTGAGTAAGTCGCCTACGGTCGGGCTGTATGTTCGTCTAGCTCCGCAAGTAATAAGTACAAGAGTATTTATATTGCAATAACCAGACGATTTCACGGCCCACCTGCTATTTAGCATTAGCCTTTTGAGACATAAGGTCAAAGACTCAATAGCAATGAAATAGCAGCTAGGGAGAATAATATCCTTCCAAACCGAACGCACGTCATCATCATCGGCCACAGGAGTCCACTGCTCGACACAGGCCTCTCCCAATGTACGCTGTAATGTCTGAATGCACAATTGCAGCTTAACTCTCAGTTTTACGCGAACGTGTATTTGCCGTTGCGATTTGAAATGTCCTCAGTTTAGTAAAAGAACATGTACTAAGCAGGAGCTGTGGCAAAAACCACATAGTTCTGACTAGTTAATTATGATTCATTTACATACTAATTGTATTTTTTAAATCGAGTTGACTCAAAACACGTGACCAGAACAATCGTAAAACGACTGTCAACAAGCATAATTAGTTTATTAGTAAACGAGTTTTCTAATTAACTAATTGTAGTATGCTAATTAACAATTAATTGCATAATTGCGCACGACACTAAGTGTAGAAGAAGTGGACATAGGGGTAAACTATTACTGTTCTGGTTGTCCTGGCCGTGATTTGTTTATTGACACCCTTCAATACGGGACGCATGATACCTTCGAGTAATGGTTTGGGACGTGCGTTTGGCATCTTCGCCAGGTGGACGATGGGCGATAAAGATATAATCGAATAACTTGGACTTGGAGAAATCGATAGAGGGAAGATCTTCAACCGAGCAGATGACATTGCTCGGTAATTGACGGTAGTCAGAATGTTATGTTCGGAACACGTATGTGTTCAAACTTATCTTCAAAATGTCGTTGGCGAGATTCAAGCATCTGTAAATAAATATCTCGTGTTCTACTATAGCTACCTGCAACAAAATTAAAATGTTTTATTATGACGAATGTATACTATGAAAATGAATGGATTACTTCAAAACGCTGTCGTTGTCCGCACACAGCAAATCTAAGACGTGCTTCTCTCCGGTCTTTATGGTGACTTTATTGTAATTCTTCTGTTTTTCACTGGTATTCTTTGAGTAGTAACATTTAGGCACTTTCCCACCTGGCTTCACCTGTAACATATGAAACACTACATAAACAATAAAACCTACAAGGAATAGTAGGTATGGTTTTCGAATCGGAAATATTGGGTAATAGACAAAGAAAATTTAGTTTTTTTTTATAACTGCATAGACGATGTTAGTTTGATAATTGTTTGGTATCAAGGCTGTATTAGGCCCTTCAAATCGGAATGCATTACTGCTTCACGGCAGGAATAGGCAGGGTGGTGGTACCTACCCGCGCGGACTCGTAAGACGTCCTACCACCAGTAATATAGAAACTATAGTAATATAGAATAGATCTAATAAAGAAACGAATGAAAACTCACAATTAAACTACACCTCGGGTCGCCATTTTCATCGACCATAGTCCCGCCGTAGTGAACCGGTAGCTGGTCCTTATCGATCAGGTTCAATACTTGCGCCTGCCATTTCTTTGTATCCGTACCGAATATCTTGATCTTCGATATGGTGTATTCGTGCATAAATTTTTTGATCACGGAGAATGCTAGAGAGAAGACTTTGGGCGCTGCAAATGATAATGTTACACGGGTAAGAGTAACGCCACCTTACAAACAACATATTATAACACCTTATTCGTTCGGACCCAGGAAAACTGTAAAGTATTAAAAACTTTGGAAATATTAAGGAAAATTTAAGGTTAGGAAGTAAATTGACTTAAAAACACACTTTTTTTGACAAATTCAGTTTATTGATACCAATGTAAACTAAAATTATGGGAATTAATGATGGAATATGATTTCTGGCAAATGTCCACATCTAGCATCTCGGCACACGTCCGTTCTTTTCACAAAATTTTGAGCCACATTTTGCAACAAAACTTCGCTTATCTCGTCAATGGAGCGCCGAATTTCATCTTTCCGAGCGCCACTTTTTTGTGGTTTGTTCACGTAAGCCCACTCTTTCATGGTCCCAGAGAAAATAATCCAGCGGCGAAAAATCACATGAGCGAGGTGGCCAATTGACATCGCCAAATCGAGAAATTACGCGACCGGGTAATTTCTCATGCAATTACTGATTTGTTTGGCCGACTGTGTGGCTTGTGGCGCCGTCTTGTTGGGACCAAGGGTCACTGATGTCAACATTAGCCAATTGTGGCCACAAAAAATCGGTTATCATGGTTTGGTAGCGCAGAGAATTCACGGTGACGGCGTTTCGTTGCTCATTTTCGAAAAAATACGGGTTGATGATTCCGCCTTACCACAAACCGCACCATACGGTCACTTTCTTTGGATGTAGTGGTTTTTCGAAGAGTGTTTGTGGATTTTGTGAGCCTCGTGTGCGACAACTTTGTTTGTTTACATAACCGCCTAATTGAAAATGAGCTTCATCACTAAACATGATTTTTATAAAAAAAATGCGTTGTTTTCGTTCAGTAACGCGTTCCATGGTTAAAATTTCCCAAATTTTAACTATACAAATGTTATCTATCTATCTCTTAGGTTTATGGCGTTTCCTTTTAGATTAAGAATGACAGCTCAATTCTTGACATTTCATCGTTTAACAGCTTTTTTTTAAAGAGATTTTATGACCTGGTAACTGAGACCTTTAAGTCATGTCTTATTTTAATGTATATTCTTAATTTTATTAAAAATGATATTATGGAGTGAAATGAAATGAAAATGATTAATTTGAGACATTAATCAACTGGGATGAAATTAAATGAGATGATTTGAGATGAAATCTAATCTCATCAGTAAAATGTTGGTCATTTACTTATGATTTTTTCAGTGGACTTTTTGGAGGATCCCGAGAAGTTACGTCCAGCGGCTTTATTTCATTTTCCCACATTTGTGCACTTTCACAGATATTAAACGGTTAATAAACCACCATTATTACACATTGAAACCCGAAGAAACACTAAATAGACAAAATAAAAAAAATCACACAACTTCACTCCTCGCGTTCCCGCCAAAAAGTCTCGTTTAATAGCCAATTTACTTCCTAACCTCAAATTTGCTCAGCCTTTATATATCGATTGTGGAAGGCTTTTTAGTTTAAGCGTCATTACGTTTAATACGCGACATTTATCTTTGTAATTAAAGGTTCGTTTTATTTGGTGTTAGTATCAACAATGCCGCTGAGTTTGTTTCGCCGGTTCTTCTCAGGACTGTGGCTCTTTTTGGAACCGGTGGTAGAGTTAACATTTTTATTTATATTTTGACGTATAAGTGTGTTATGCTGACATTTAAGTTGAAATAAATGATTTTGAATTTGAATTTGAATTGAATGCGATGTTTTTAATTGATCTTTAATTAAATTTACCCCGTTCAAATAGCTGAAGAAGGTTTTTTATCATCATATTTTTTTTCCCATTTTTTAACTTTAAATGACTCTCCTGTAAAGCTGGAAAAATGTTGCTTAAACTTAAATAGGCTTTCACCCATCGATATACCTATATGCGGGGTGTTATGAGACCGCTTCCGAAAACGAAAATTTTGTATCTACAAAGTTGCAAATTTTGGGGAGCGCGGTATCAGCGCCTCGTCCCTCCCGCGCCGGTATGCATTTATAAGAAATGCCGTGCCCGGGCGTTGTTTCCCACTTCGATAAAGCGGCACGACACGAGAACCCTCTCATCGTGGCCGCCGGTAAATACATTCCCGATCCCACGGAAAGAATGGAAAGCAGTCGACGTCGCCCCAAACACGTCATTTCGGATCCTCCCGATCCACTAACGGTGGTTTTTTTTTTTTAAAGTTATGTATTTTTTATGAAACTATCGTTTCATTTAGCTGTACTAACATGATGGGGCGTAAATAATGCTAATAAAATGTTTTATAAACATGATTATTTTTTAATCAGGTTTTTTTTTTCCGTCCCATCATAACGAAGACAGACGATAGTACTAATGACGTCAAAGATGTCATTAGTACCTACTATCGTTTGTCCACGTTTTCGAAAGCGGTCTCCTAACACCCTGTATATGTATATATATTTTGTCATTTACCATTAACAATGAAGCAACTCTTCAATATCTCAGGGTAATTGGCTTCGTAAAGTTTTAGAAGGGTGAATACCATTTCCGCGGCTGGTTTCCACGCGTACTGTCTTATGTTGAAACCCTCCAAGTCAAAAATCACTGTTACCTGGTTATAAAATCAAATAAGTCAGCAACCGAACGATCAAACGGAAAAATCGGTATCAACGCCATACATTTGATAATAAATTATGAAGAGTATAGTGAAATTGAAAATTATTTTACTATTGATACGAATCTAAACTGGATTTAGGACTTCGATCTGGTAATAAGTTAAGCGTAATTACATCGGTTACTAGCTCACCCGGCAGACTTCGTAGTGCCTCAATCGATAAATAAAAGACCTAAGCTTTTGTATAAAATAAAATTAAAACAAAAAAAAAGGAATCCGTCCGACGGGGGACACATCAAAGGAAAAACAAAATTGTTATTTTTATTTAATTCGGAGTATTTCCATATTTATCTACCCTTTAAACTTTCTCTGGACTTCCACAAATAATTGAAGACCAAAATTAGCCAAATCGGTCCAGTCGTTCTCGAGTTTTAGCGAGACTAACGAACAGCAATTCATTTTATATATATAGATATAGATATAGATTTAATGTTCTACTCTGTGTCTACCTTCAAAGCGTCCGGTCCGTGAGTGAGCGCTTGTTTTCTTGCTATAGCGAGGTAGTTCTCCAAATGTTTCAAAATCATTCGAATGACTTCAGTCCTGGTGAAGGAGTGCAGTAGACCCCATACATCCAGACCAACGAATGGAACAATTATCACTGGAATGAAAGTATTGCGTTGGAAAACGATAGTTTCTGAGTACAATGAGAAACAAGCAATCCTCCCTACTTAAATAAATAATAGTTTATAAAATAGTTTTAAAATAAATTTTAATAAATTTGTATTGAAAATAGTATAAGAAAAAATGATTTTATTGCAAAAAAATTAAAATTTATTTTCTATTTTTTAGTTGGATTTTCTATGAAAGCGTATTTTGTTCGTTTTTTTAAACTATTATTTATTTTTCATTTTATAGTTGAATTTTAACTTTTTTAATTATTATTTTTAATATTGAATTGTCATCATTCCTTAATAAGTATACCAAATTTCGAGTTAATCCGACGTTTTGAAGGGGGTCAAAATCATGTTAAAAAATTCCGTTACAAACATACATACATCTGAAGCTAATAAAAGCGTATTAAAAATACCCGTTTGCCGATAAAAGGTTTTTTTTACCTGGTGAGCCTTCCTTGTCGAAGCCCGTGCTGCCGCTGGGAAAGTGTTTTTCTAGAACTTCGGGTGCCTGCCAACTCGGTAGAGTTGTGTCTACTTCCCATTTCTCTCGCCATTTCAATGACTAAAGCATAATTCCTATTTCATCTATACTATAATATTGTAAAGAGGAAAGATTTGTTTGTTTGATTGTACAGAATAGGCTCCGAAACTACTGAACCGATTTGAAAAATTCTTTAACTGTTTGGAAGGTACAATATTCCCGAGTGACAGGCTAAAATTCTTTTGAAAAAATTAGGGATCCTTACTAAAACTCCAATAATGTAATCCAAGGTGTAAAAAACTACCTAAAATATTCTTTAGGTACATCGCGTGCCCTGCGAAAACTATAGATGATAGAATAAAATAATGTACTACGACTTTGTAGAACACATTATTATTTACAAAAAGTTTTGCGACAGCATATGTCTAACTATTATATTATGTAGTTATGCCGCAATAAGTGTTCTTTAAAAAAAATACGTCAAATATTATTGAAATTTTTGTTAAAGACCCGAACGGAGTCGAGCGGGCCGCTTGTATCAAATAAAGAGAAACATTTTTCGAGTGTTGTTGAAAAAAAAATTCGTAATCAACAGAAGGGACAGATAGATTATAGAAAATTAAAATCTACATAATAAATAATAATAGTGAAGTAGGTACAAAAAAAAGTGCTTTTCATCTCCAACGCTGTGAGGCGCGTCTTAATTATACTTTTTGTGCGTGATTATCATTGTATCAACGAGGTTAAATAAACGCATCTATTATAAATGTTATAATACTGTTAGTATGTAGATACAAATATGTTTTTATTAATCTATTGATCTGATAAAATATTATATATACGAGTACATGTGCTATCATCTTTTATCAGTTAGGTATACTATGTCACTAGCTATAACTCGTCTATTTATTTCGGCTTTAAAGGAAACTGATTATGGAGTCAAGTTAAAAAAACTCTAGGCATCTCTTTATTTACTCGACGGATATATCATAGATATTTTATATTTTACCTTTAGATTACCATAGATAATACACTTAATAAACTAAATTGTCCAAAAAGGTAGGTTAACTTTTTTTGGTTAGTATAATCTGAGAGGGTGAGGTATAAATTTTTATACTAACATCTCTTAACATCTTCTCTGCGGCTTCTGGGTCCCATTGTCGAGCTGGAATTGAAAATGAATATGTTAATTATTTTTTTTTACATCCGTTATAAATAATTAAACAGTTTCCTTCCGCTGTGACTTTCACTTAAATATTTTTTGGTTGGATTGACGAATCCCAACGGGACTACGACGTCAATCTGGTTTCCGGTGCAATTTTTTTTGACTCGACGACAGGTTTTACACAGAGGTGATTTCAAAAAAAAAAAAAAGGTTGTTCTGCCTCACCTTGGACGTCTAATTTTACTAGCGCTGAAATTTTTGTTGTTACTTTATTTATAATTTAAAAATAATTTGCCAGAATTCGTTTCCACTTTAAATGCTATTTCAAGCATTGTTTGTTAACATTTAGATAGAACTAGAGTTTGCCAAGAAAACAGGCGGTGCAAGGGAACGACATGGGTTAATAGTAGATGTACCATTAAATTGCACACGATGCAACTTTTTTTATTGCTTAGGGTTAACGAACTCGCGGCCCACCTGATGTTAAGTGATTAGCCGAGCCCATAGACATCACGAATCTAAACGCCGCCATCTTGAAACACGGGTTTTAAGTTTCAGTTCTATAGTGCAACGGCTGCCCCACGCTTTAAGCCGGAACTCATTACTACAGAAATAGGTAGGTCTGTGGTGTACCCCCGTGCGTGCTCACAAGATGTCCTACCACCGGTAATTACGGTAATTACGCAAAATATAATTTTACGGATTTGGTTTTATTATACGACTAGCTATACCCGTCCGCTTCGCTGGGCATTTAAAATTAACATTATTATTTCTCACCCCCACAAAGATTCTCATCATCAACGCCCCGGAACTGGTGTAGGGAGTCCAACACTCATAAATATTATCCTATCCATTAAGTACATGTATTTTCTACATGGATACCAAGTTTCAAGTCAATCGGATGCACGGTTCCGTAGTTATAACGGAACATCCGTAAAAACCACTGTAGATTTATATATTAGTATAGATGTTAATCCTTCAGCTTGGAAGTCGTTCGTAAACATGAGTTAAATACGTATTATATATTAAGTGTATAATCTATCTACGTATTTCTTTAGAAAATTTGGTAGGTACCTGCATGCGGAATTCATAGCACTATCGCATCGAATGGTACAAATGCATCGGGCGTCTAATTCTTTGGGCCACTTCTAAACAATATTAAATATCAAAAGTTTTATTGATGACAACCAAGAATATGCCCTTATCAGTTTCTTAATGAACTAGTTAGTTATCCAGCCTATTCATTAAAAGCTATTAAGAGCTCAGATACACAATCCATTTTGAGGTTAATATTTCATATTTATCTAAATGTTTTATTTATGTATGATTCTGTAAAATATCTTAATGCGCTTTATAATTAAATTACTCATCGTATTTGATAACAGCCTTCAAATAATCTTATTTTTTGTCCTCTTAAATTAACATACAATTTATACCTATATACGTTGTCATGCATAAAGATGAGTATACCTTTTAAACAGAAAAAAAGTACTATTCGGGAGAAATACTTTATTTTCTATATTAAAATGAATGAAACGGCGGCTAAAAGCTAATTTAATATAAAGTTTCCACAATCTCATCGCTAATTATTTTAATTATTTTCCTTCGAGTAAATTGGCTATATACCTAGTCAGGTCATAAATTCTGTCACATGTTTAATGTAAAATAATTGAAACAAGTTTATTCATTATGTAACCATTCATATACCAAAATGAATTTAACAAAACACAGATTCTTATGACACTAAAGTTTATTCAAAATGACCTCCGTGATTTTGAATACAGGCCTTCAATCTGCGCGGCCAGTCGTCTATCGCAGCACGAACGAGGTCCATGTCAATATCGGCGGCTGCCTTAATCAAAGATGTCTTGAGTGACTCCAAATTGGGATGAGGCTTTGAGCACGCCTTTTCCTCCAAGTGTTGCCATATCTTGTAATCTAACGGATTCAAATCTGGACTGGAGGAGGGCCAGTCTTCGTGCCGGATGAAGTCGATTTCACGCGCCGCCAGCCAGTCTTGTGTGCTCTTCGCTCTATGAGCTGGCGCCGAATCTTGTTGGAATACCCAGTGCCTGTTATTGAACATGGTATGAGAAACAGGTTCCACAAGGTTCGTCAGGACTGTATTTTGATACACAACTGCATTCGTTTTTACACCTTTCTCACAAAAATGTACCTCTGTTAAGCCCCAATAAGAAACTCCCAACCATACCATGAGCGAGGATGGAAAATGACCTCGTTGGACACGCGGAATACGGTTGCTCGCTTCTTCACTACTGTGTGCGTACACCTTATCATTTTGTTTGTTGTAGCTCTCTTCTACGGTAAAAATTTTTTCATCCGAAAAAAGAATTTCCCGATATTTTTTTCCCGCGTACCGCTTCAACAAAGCGCGGCATCTCTTCAGTCTCAGGTCCATTAGACGAGCATTCAAACGATGTCCTGTTTTTCTTCGATATGCCCGAAGCCCTAAGTCTTCATTTAACACCCTTTTCACCGTGGTTCTGCTTAACCCCATCTGAAGGGCCAACAGTTTCTGCTTACGTTTGGGATTTCTTTGAATTCGCGCCTTCACAGCTTTTATCACTGCTGGAGTCCTAACAGACCGAGGGCGACCACTTCTTGACCTGTCATCTACACTAGAGTCTTCATTGTATCGTTTGATGGTACGATAAACGAATCTTTTGGTTATATTCAAAATTTTCAGTATGTTAAAAATTTGAATTGGCGCGTAATCGCAACGATGCAACGCAATAACTGCAACACGGTCTTCTTTAAGCGTCCACTCCATATTTAAAAATAAGTAAAAATTCTAAAAGTATACATTTTTATTTTCATGAACAATTCGAAATTCGAATTCAATAAACTTTTTTGTGGCCAGCATTCTAAAAGAAAAGTTTTTACTGTGTGACAATACTTATGACCTGACTAGGTATGTTTGGCCTGTTCGTCTTTTTAAAATACAACAATCATAGATTACACGGTATAATAGATGTACTTATAAAATCAATGCCAATATCTTAATTCTCAACAGCCATTAGCTATTGAGTAATGGTTTCGCAATATCGCTGCGGATCTCTTACAGCTTTGGGAGCCTGTGACCTTTTTTATAATCAAAGTTACAACCGAATTTGTATGCGCAACTGTAATAACTGTGCAGTTTTAGAAGCATCGGATGATTTATATATAGTGAAAGTTGTGTCATTTAAGAATAGCTGTCATACCTCTTAACCATCTTAATAAAAAATGGTCATTGTGTTCGGGTCTCAACACGTCTTTGACGCTCCTACGAAACTGTAACAAAGAAAAGAAAAATTGTAACCTTAACATAATATTTAAGTATAGGTATAACGTAATAACTATGCGACAAAGTCACTATCAATTTTTTTGATAACAGTCTTTTTCTTGTCCTTATCCCACATGGTGTGGGATCGGTGCTGTATGACCTCTTGATCATACTGCGTAGGGATTTGGCGTAAATTTAAGATCGGCCGCTTACCTGTAGTCAATCACCCTTGGGTTTTATCATCACATATTCATCGCAACGTGCTATAGGAAGAAACTTTTCTGTTCCTTCTTTTAAATTTAGTGCCTTCGACTTCAATCGTTTTTGATATGCATTTTATTATTTTATAATTTTACACTAAAATTTAGATTTTAATTTAGAGAGAGAGAGAGAGAGAGAGAGAGAGAGAGAGAGAGAGAGAGAGAGAGAGAGAGAGAGAGAGTATTCTTTATTGTACAACAAAAAACAAATAAACAGTGCGATACATTAAACACAAAAAAGTACAATTGGCGGTCTTATCGCTAAGAGCGATCTCTTCCAGACAACCGTCAGGTGGACAAGAATAATTACCAAAAGATGAGAGGGAATCTAATATAATATTCGTTAAAATGTCATTATTATTATGAAAATACAGAACCAATTTTATCAATACGTCTCTTGGCAACCATATTGACAAAATTAGTTCAATACCTGTCAAATCCATTTACTCGTAGTAACGAAATAATCTAAAATCATGGCTGAAGGGGATAATATATCAACGTTTAGTGCTGATGGAGGTCAAGATACCGTGGGGCTTCCTAGAATAGTAATGGTTACCGAAGGATCTGACACTTCGGCGTCTTCGGCTTCATCAACATCTCCTAGCGAAGACAACTGGGCGGACCTTATCAAGTCGTCAGAAATACCGCCGGAGTACTGGCATATACAGAAACTGGTGAAATATATGAAAGCCGGTAATCAAACGGCAACAACGGTGGCGCTATCTTGTCTGAAAGACCACGACTTGACTGTGGAAGTTAATCAACGAGCTATTCAAGAAATCGGAGGCTTAGAGCTTCTTGTGAACTTGCTGGAGACAAGAGATTTGTGTTGTATATTAGGTGGCTTGGCTGTTTTAAAAGATATAACCCCTAATATAGAGATAAGGAAGAAAGTGACCGATCTAGGTGCGATTCCATTATTAGTGGGATTACTGTCGGATCCTGCAAGGGATGTACAAATACTGGCAGCTGAAACAATAGCTAATTTAGGTCGTATACGCAAAAGCAGAAAGTTCTGTCGGAAATTCGGTGGAATACCGAAGCTTATTGATCTTCTCGATATTAAGGAACGGTGAGACTCTTTTTCAAGTTTTCGAAATTTAAAAAGTATCTCAGTAAAATGTTTTACTTTTATCTTAGATGTATTATTACATCACGTGAAGAGTTGAACCAAGATGAACTACAATACCTCGATATTGCCAGAGCCGGAGCTAAAGCTTTATGGTCAATGTCAGCATCTCAACGTAACCGCGAGGCAATGAGAAAATACGGGATGATACCTCTTATAGCAAAAATGCTAAAGACCATACACCTTGATGTCGCGGTTCCAACAGTTGGCTTATTACAAATGTGTGCCAATGAAACCTCTTTTCAACTGGCCATACAGACGGAAAGAATGGTCAACGACTTGATCAAACACTTGGCAAATGAGGATAAAGATTTAAAGGTTTGGTTAAAAAAATTAAGGCTTTCTATCATCATCGTCATCATCAGCAAACAGACGTCCACTGTCTGACATAGGCCTGTTATAGAGTTGTCGGTCACCACGTGGGAGGCCTAACCACGCTGCGTTTAATACATAAGTAATCTTGTAGATTAAAATAACGTAAGTAAATTTACCAGTAAAGCTATTTGCGAGATTATTCTGGTAAAAAAAAAAATAATTTAACGCGTATTGTAATTTAGATGATATGACTATGAACAACATGTAGCCTTTTATTATGTAACTTAAGGTGTACCGCGGATAACTTTCAAAACCAAAGTCTCTGTTAGTTTGTCCTGCGTGCAACAAAAAGTAGTAACGTTAGGATTTTTTTTTAGAAAGAAGGTAGTTATCAGATTGTTCAAATGTCGACGAATAAAACATTTAGTCGTTCGTAATCACGAAAACTGTACAGTATTGGAAACGTCAAAAATAAAGAGATTAAAAACACGATATTAGGTTTTTAGTGCTGAGCTTATTTTCACATATTTTGAAGAAATTGCTAAATTGTTTTTGGAAACCCAATTGGGTACCAAAAGCACCTTACAAAAAACTTTAACTTAAAATAAAATACAAGAATCAATGCTAAATTCCATCCATTCCAATTATGTCCACGTTTCGAAAACCATAGAAAGTAGTATGAAGCCTCTTGTGGTCAACTTTGCTTGCATCTTGGCAATAAGCTTGTCTTTTTGTTGACGGACACACTACAGTCAGCAAACAGTACATCATTTAACATATTTTTCAGACATACTGTAGTTTAGCGATTTATAAATGTGCCAGTGATGCGATAACACGAGACATGATCCGCGAAGCCGGAGGCTTGGAGCTCTTGGTAGAAGCTGCACAAGACTCCACCAACCGACCCAACAAGCCATTATTGGCAGCAGTAACTGGTGCACTGTGGAAATGCGCTAATAGTGACGCGAGCGTGAAAAAACTAGATCATTTGGGCGCGGTACCGATCCTTGTTCGATTATTGGACGACGAGAATGATGGAGTATTGACTAATGTCGCTGGAGCTTTAGCGGAATGCGCGAAATTTCCTCAGAATAGGGATAAAATTAGAAGTGCTGGCGGTATACCATTATTAAGTACGATGATAATTTTAATTAACTAAAGCAATAAAATAAAAATACTACTTTATTGATTTTGGAGCTTGTAATCATATATTTTTTGGGATACTTGGCTCCACAACACAACAAAATCACGGCCTAATTCTCATTAAGAGGCTTTAGGCTTCTCATTAAGAGGCGTTACCGAGGCTCAGACATCCCAAGGCAAATGCCACCATACACCTTGAAACATAAGATCGTAGTTTCAATGGTATTGCATTACAGCTACCCCGCCGATCAAAACGAAACGTATTCTGCTTCGCAGCAGACTTAAACACGACAATGGTACCGGCTCATGTCATACCTTACTTTCAATAATACCAAAACCAAAATGTAAGAAAATAATTTAATGGTCCTAAATTTTCGACTTGAAATTGTGTAGTTTTTTTTTTTTAAAACACTTGTCGAAACCATTCTCATTACAATAAATCTTCAAGTTAATATTTGTCTGTCTGGTTTTCAATAAGTTATTAATCAAAGAAAATTTATCAAATGAAGGCTGAGAGTCATATTAAAACAGCTGAAATTACAGTTCATCATCTCAACAACACGTACAAGCCACTATTGGAAAACGTTCCTTTAGTTTTAATGGAATGTGCTAAGGAGCAAAATTGTATGGCCGAGATCGACGAATTGGACGGAGTCAGGCTAATTTGGTCCCTGTTGAAGAACGACTCGAAGAAAGTTCAAACGAATGCAGCGTTAGCGCTGAGTCCGTGCGTACAGAACGCTGCTGATTCTGGAGAAATGGTGCGGTCGTTTGTAGGCGCACTAGACCTAACCGTCGATCTACTGGATTCGGATGACAACAATGTGCTGTCAGCCATATGTGCCGCTATTGCTACAATAGCTAGAGACCACGAGAATCTAGCAGTGATATCTGATCACGGTGTGGTGGCGAAACTTTCAAAGCTTGGTATGGAACTAATTAATACGCCCACTTTCTTGTAAACTTCCTTTAATTTGGGGTTTTTTGTTTCTCTAATTTTTCTCTGTTCGCCAAGTTCTTCCTATGACGTACCGTTGCAGTCTAATGCACTTTTGAGTGACGCAACTAAGATGTATTTAGTGCGTTCACACTACACAGCCGGCTTACTTAGATGCATACTATGCTATGATATGCTCGTTTTTGTTTTAAGTATTTATTTCTGAGATTGTTGAATGAGCTTAAGGCCCACCTGGTGTTAAGGCCATAGACATCACACACATTGTTTTGTCTATGCTACATCGACCTTGAACATATGAGACTAACTGATAGGGTAAAGACAAAAATTAACGTTGTAGCTGATTTGATGTGATCTTATAATAAAACGTGTTTATTGAGCAATAGCAAATGTTTCAATTCCAAAATAGCAAAATACATAGTTAATAGCTAAGCTAACTAACTAATTTGCCCAAATTGGTAAATAAGCACGCGTATTTATTTGAACAGCCGACTGGCTGGTAGCGGGGCTGAGGTGTGGTCGGTATTAAAAGTGCCACCGCTTTCATGTGTCGATTCGTTGGGATGAGTCATTGTAGTATCTGCATACATACTATTATCCTACATACTAATCATAATCCGTTTAGCCTGCTAACTATGGTCTGAACGTACGTAGTTTGACTCTTTAGAACCGATTAAATTTACAAAGTTGCGACGTCACAATAGCGTTTTTTGTCATTTAACGAAAATATTCATTTAACTCTGTTATATTTCGTTTTTGGGTATACTAGACAAAACTTATCACGTTTTAATTTTTACATTTCCTACTTTTAAATGAAAATGATTTTGGACTTTGATGTTAGAGGAAGTCTGAAAGAGGCACCTGTGACAGAGAAGTTGAGAAGTGCGCATTTTGGATGGACATGTGTTAAGACGAAATGACAATGAGGTTGTTAAGAGAATTTTAACTACTAACTATGAATGTAGGCTTTAGAGGAAGGCTAGGTTTTAGAGGAAGATGTAGGCCTAAGAAAAAATAGATGGATTGCGTGAATGACGATATGTGTAAGAGGGGAGTGAACGAAGAAATGGTATATGATAGAGGAATATGATTACTTTGTTGATGTTTATTAAGCTTCTCGTTATCTATACCTAATAATATTAAACTTATGAAATTGTGAAGTAATAAACATCATTGCTGATTTTTCAGTGAGTACAACAGACGATCATCTCCGCGCGAACTTGGGCGTGGCGATTGCGTATTGCTGCGACTGGGCCCAGAACAGGCAGGAGTTTGGCAAACGTGGAGCCATCACACCTCTCGTCAATTACATGACGTCAAGAGATCCGAACGTCCACCGAGCCACAGCCCTCGCTCTATATCACCTGTCATTCTACTCCATCAATTGCGTTACAATGCACGCAGTAAGTCTGGTCTGAGTTGAAAATTAGCACTTTCACAATATGAAGTTATCCGCTTTCACCGTCGACATTACGGTATCCGTCGTTAGAATCGTAAATTGGTTTTGCGTAACTAGTACCGTTTTGTGCTTGACGGTAAGAAGCCAGAAGTGTTGTGCTTCACGTGCTAGGCTTGCGTGCCTTTAGGGCAAATTTTAGACGCCCTCGGCCAAATTTCGTTAAAGCGTAGAAAAAAAAACATTTCATGTCGGTTTACTTGACGTTGAATATAAAAACAAACGCAACTTTGTGTGAATGCAAAACATGAATATGAAGGTCGAATAAAAATGTCTGACATTCCATGCCGGACGTTTTTTTTTAAGAGTTTTGTTTTGTAATCGTTTTAAAATTAACCTTTTTGATATATTTTTAAATTAGAAAATATGTAGTTTGCTTTAACGGCTGAAATTTTAAACTTCCCCGAGAATCTTATACAATTACGACATAATAATGATAGTCTTATAGCTTAAAATTTATCAATAGCTTAATTATTCCTTCCCGGGCATCGGTCCACATGTCACTACTAAATGCCTTGATCTCTCCATTACTTTCTTGTGACAGTCCGTGTCGTGATCATTACCTCTGTCCTACTTTTTTCTGCCGCAAAGCAATTATGTGTCCCCGTCTGCAGGGTAGGATAGTGTTTTTCTGATCTAATGGAGACTTTGACCTCTTGTTTCAAGGTTGCATTCACGCCGTCATATCTTTTGTCTTTGATGAGTGCATTATACCGTCTGTGGATTTTTCCTCTACCTTTTCGCTGGAAGCCTAAAGGGGCTATTTCAGGTATACGGCGGACAGTGAAATATTATTAATGGCGGATCAAAGGCCGCACTCCAGGACTACTTAAAATTAAACAAATCCATCAGAATGTCGATCCTGATGAATTGACTAGGTACCATTTAATCGATAAATTAACTGCCACTCGTAAATCAAATCTGTGATATCAATTAAAAATTGACCTGAATGTTTTATTTCTAGGCCGGAGTTGTACAATTCTTGTTGGAGACAATAGGATCGAAGGATCCTATACTGCAAGAGGCCTCTGCTGGATGTCTCTGCAATATACGAAAACTTGCACTTGCAACAGAAAAAATCAAGTTGAAACAGTAGATTTTAAAATATGTAGCTTGCCCATGTTTTTTTGTTAGCAATAAAGTATATATATTGACCTGTTTTTATGTTAATATTTATATCAGTTAAAGAAGTTAGCGAATAAACAGACGAATAGTAAAATAATTGCATGTAGCGGAATCATGGTTTGACGACTGGCCTATGTAGATGCATAGTACCGGTTTTTAGATTCTCTATCTTCGTAATGCTTATATAAACTGTATAAGAACTAAGAGCTAGTGTTAGCTGTTGCCGAGTAGTTTACGCCCAAAAACTAACGCAGATTTAACTTTGGACCCTTGGATGTTGAATAAGGCAATATTATAGATGAATGAGTGTGTCGATGAAACACGGGCTCGCGACGTTGGTACGTATTTAATAACCGGTAAGTTTACCGGTAACGTTTACTACAATATTGAGTGTATTATCTGATCTATATTTACTACCAAAAATAGTTAGCAGTATACATTTACGAATATATCTGTAACTACATATCGACGCTTGAAAGGCAAACGTGACTAAGCGACAATAACTGCTTTGTACATAAATGATAGGCAATAACCATATTCGATGCGCAAAAGAATATATTTCTAGATCTATTAAAATCATTTCAATCCTACAGCTACTAGCTAGATTCTACCACAGCTAGATTCGTAAAAATTAATTTTGTTTTCAGGTATTTCAACTTTAAATTAATCTACCGTAAAGTTCACGCATTGTCGCTTAGTCAGGTTTGCCTTTTAAGCGTCGATATGTACAATATCATTTTCACACACTAACCGCGGTGAGCTGATTCGTATATCTAGTGCCATTAAAAATGTGCGAAATTCACACAACGGTCTCAAGAAGTTTTCACTTCAAAAAGTCCCACGTATTTGTCGACTGCCTTTCATTAACTCCGGCGTTCGAAGAATCGATTTTTTTATTTTACATACCATACATTGCGGGCCCATATTTTATGCAACTGTTGAGTGTTATATACTTTTTATGTTACATTACAGCAATATTATACAGTTGCAATAACTGTAGTATAATTGAAAGAATTAATTGACGACCTTTTCGTAACAGCAATGGTACCTACACTGATATATCGCAATAAAATATAATTGTAAAAGAACTTTTGAATGTGAACGGACGTAATGGTTTCGTTGGCTGTTAAAATTCTAGTTTTGTATTTAAGAAACACAACGAACTCAACAAACGCAGTCACGGGCGCCGCATAAATAATTAATGATTCGGTTTTTGTTATCGTTTCAAAAACCCACTACTATATGAGTCGTCTATTATCAAAGGTGGCAATCTGTGCATTTGGACAAAAAATTTTTATTGATATGTCAATTCAGATTGATTTGAATATAATCGTCTCCTTCAAAGAATACGGTTCAAAACCTGCATTAAATAAAGGTTAATAGTTAACCTGTTATTTATCTAAAATGTCGTTCCGAAGAGTTTTGTGACTGCCAATGGAATACAAAGTCAATAATTCGTTTTTCTGATTTACCAATCATTGTCCAAAAGTCAGATTGCCGGCTTTGATAATAGTCGACTCATATA